AACAGTAATGCAGAAGGACTGGGAAAATAGAATGGAGAATAAAGGAGATCGTTACGTTATCGTCAGAAATCTATCTCCATTTTTTTGAAGAAATTGATTATCCCAACGATTCGTTTCCTATTTAGTGCGAACAGAGAATCTACTACGATTCGTAATTAATACATTATTGTATCCTGTCATCTTAAATATACATAGCCTCTTAAAAACCTTCCTTCCAGTTCTTTCGGAATAACGTTAAAAAATTTGTATACAGGTAGATGACGTATTCGATAAATGTGGCCTCCAACGACGAGGAATACAAACTTCCCAATGAAATTCTCATGATTTATTTAACACCCCGCGCACCTGGCCCAACAGATGGAATTATAATTTCCATCTTTCGTTTCTTTTTTTTTTCTTAACAAAAATTACACAGCTTCGAGGCCATCGAAAATTCACAGGCAAGAGCCGAGAGCGCGAACAAAGGTGTCCACGAATCCCGAATTACCTTTTTCTTGCGCAAGCCGTCGGTAGCTGGCCGAAATTCGATCGATTAAACGGATCGCTCGTTTCTATTCGGCGCAACGGTCCACCGTCGGGTCCAGATACCAGATAAGTGAACTTCCTGAGCTCCTGTCGCGTATCGATCCGAATTCCGATTCAATTTTCTACGCCCCCAACGCACACGGCGAAACGCCATGCATTAAACATCGCGCATAACGCATACCGTCGCGCTAATCCAGCCGACGATGTAAGCGCATCACCATCGATACAAATGCGAGTTCGATTTTATACGAGAGAAGGAATATTTCCAACTCCACTCGACTCCGGCTTCGTTGATTTTTCATCGATGCGAAATATAAATCATCGCGCGCTCGAATTACATATCCGACCCTCGGATGTTCGATGTTCCTGGAGATGTGGAATTGCAGATGTTCTTGTATTATTGCTGACGTTCATTCCTGAATTTCTACATTCTTGCATTCGGGCAATAATTTAGACAGTTTAATCGATTAGCAAAATATATATGCTATAAGGAAGTTTAGGCGAAACACTGGCTCTTCTTATTTCACAGCTCTTCTATTCATTCAGTTGTATAGCTCGGGTACCTCGGGATTGTTAAATCCGTACTGTATCCACAATCGAACGTAGCTACAGCCCCTGAGGGTTCTTTACATCCGACACAACGCAAGAATGTATACGTTTAGGAATAAACAAACAAATAAATAGTGCGATATGAGTTTCATTCGCGACGACGAGATACAAGTTCGCGAAGATTCATCGAGAGAGCCAAGTCGCCAACGGCTAAGTTTATCATAATAATTACAGGCATCGGTCGCGCCTATTACACGCGCGCCTAATTGACCTGGACGCGAAATAACTATAATTTCCGCGTATCACCTTATTCCTACGGTCTACGGTCGTAAAGTATTTGAGCTGACCATCGCCAACCTGGCCATCGAGAATTATAATCAACCGCGTGTTATTTAAGTTACCTATTTCGATTCCGTTCATCGTGGACTCCACAGCGTCTCGGTAACGCGTTCGTCGGCTGGCCACTAGAAGACAGCGGCCCGCTGCTCTATTATTAGGCGTAATAGCCCGGGAAAACTTTCATTAACTTGTCCTATGCCTAATTCATGAGACGACCGACGCGATACCGTGTAATCCGCGCCAGTTCCCCGGTCCGCCTCGAGGGAGCAAAAGGATCGAACCCAATCGGGGAAACGATTTCGTTCTCTAAACATGGAAAGAAAATGATTTTTTCCGGCCAACCCTAGGGGTTGCGGAATTTGATTCCAACTCTGGTGCATAAATTTGCTTTGCTCCTAATTAAATGAACAATGTCTCGCTTATATAGAAGAAAAGGCATAAAATTGAGGCTAACATAAAATGTTTAATACAGTTGAGAGTGAGATAATTGTATGAATCTCTTTGCAAGACATTTTTTAAATACATGTTAGAAGTGTCATTACTATTGTCATCTAGATTAAGCTGGTTATCTTTCGATGAAGACCAAAAACAACGCTCGTAAACGTTGACAAACGTATAAAGCGATTATTGCCACAAAATATTCAATGTTATATAAATCTATATTAACAAATTCAAACGGAGGCGCAGGTTAGCCCGCCAGTGACCTGAACCGTACTCTTCCGCCACCTATGGTGCAGCAAACGAACCATTCGGCCTCGATAAACGCACCGTGGAATAGGAAGCCTTACCTACCGCTACCATCTCGAGTTATCGACGCTCTTTCGACACAGACGACCGTTCCCTTCCTTCTCCTATGCCGCTGACGTAAGAGCATAGTAAAAGCTTAGGCAGTCGATGCGTCACGTTCGCCACTTTACCGACACTCTGTAAAATCCTGCTCATATTCCTTAATTAACCCCGCAACCCTTCAAAATTATAAAAGAAACAATATCAAAAAGTGACACGTGCAAAGAGACGCTGCTTCTAAACATAACTTCAAAGAGACGACGAGGATGGGAAGAAGCATCGATTGGGGGGTGTCGTTATCACGGTGTAACGACGTGTAGAAAATTACCGAGAACAACCCCTTTTGAAGCTCACGAATAACACTTCAGGTGTCTAGATGCCTGCAGGTACACTTTTGCTGAAAGTGCATCCTTGTCAGGCTCGCGATCCTACAAAGACGCAGATCTTGAAGCGTTTACCGGCTCGCGTGTCAGTGATTCCAGTTTAGGGGGGTCTACGTAAACAGGAATGGAGAGACGGGCAGAAAAATCGAGGAAGGACAAGGTTGAGGAGGAACGCAGACGTATATTTAGCGTGCTACTTTGTCGGCCAATGGATCCTGGCATGTTCGAAGAACAAGCTGGTTCAACCAGCCTGGTTGGCGGGAACAGGCCTGTGCTAAGACGGACGCAAAAGGGGACTTTTTTAAATTAATGTTAACACTTGACTCCACTCTTCTACTTTAATCTTAATTCTTGACTTGTCAGATAAAAAATTTTATTTACAGGACCATCCACTTTGTCAAAAAGAGCAGTTCAACCCTCGTTACTCAAAATAGGAGCTCCAAGTTCCCTAAGCATTGTTTTCTCGTCCTAGGCGTCTAGATTCATAGCTATAGACCTGGATAGAGCCTGCCAGAAGGGAACTGCACTCACGTGAGCGTCGCGGTAGCGAATTTCGTGACCTCACGTGACTCGTGGCAGTACAAAGTAACTTCACGATGGATTGAAATGGACGTCGATCTTCATCCCCTCGAGGGCGTGTTTTCGTGACAGTCGCGGCCAGAGGATGAGGAAAAATCCCGTAATCACTGGAACGACGCACGCGAGAACGTTGTACTTCCATAAATTAGAGACAGACCCTCGATCGACATGACGTACCTACTTGATGAGAAGGTTACTTGGGCATTATTATCGCTGTTAATCGTCTTCGTCGTACAAATATGTAAGCGGAAGAATAATTTCCACGGTGGCTATGTAGAGATTGCTCCATTTCAACCCAATCTTAAAGTTAATGTGCAAACGCCAGGTAAGGTATGATAAAATGAAGATGTAATAAGATAAGCAAGATAGAAATCCGAGAAGGACGGATGTGTTGTTAACGTAAAAATTGTTCGTACTTTAAGGAACAGAGAAAGAGAGGGTGGTGAAGTATACGGAAGTAGAGAAGACATAATATATATTTTTATTAGAACTCCGAGCAAATGTGAATCAACAAACTGCAATAGTTGCGCAAATGGGGCAACAAAGATGGAAGACTCGTGCTTCCTGTTGAACTTAGCCAGACATTTAAAGAAGGAAAGAGAGCATCGGTTCGGAAATATTACATATCATCGACCAGTGATTACGAGCATGATTGAAGCCAGTATCATAAATATTACACGATAAGAAGTTGAAGATAGAATCTCGAGGAGCAGAGCACGTGACAGACTGCAAAGTCGATAATTGTAGATCGCGCACGTTGATGAATGCCCTTGGGCACATTGTTCAAGATACAAGCCCATTCGTGACAGGGCACTGGGTGAGAAACCATGGCTATGTAATTTTACTACCAGCATGTTACGATCATTCGATCATCCTTAGCTTCCTGGAAGCTTTCGTTATCCTTTTGGTACCTGAGTTCAATAGCCTGCAGCTTTATGCACGTTTAGAATCCATCGAAAGGAAAACAGGTTTAATAAAAAATAAATTTCTACAAATAAATCTATGTGCCTTAGATATAGACGGTATTTTCGTAAAGCAAAATTGAGCAGGGATATATTGCTATTGGCATTCAAAGAATTAATAATTGCCATTTCATTTGCTACTGTTAATGGCCGCTGTGTAATAATTGCAGCTTTCGTCGAAAACTTTCGGAAGCTCCTTTTCAACTGTCATTGTGCATGTACCCTCGTTTTTATCGAGACGACGACATATGCGTGCCTGGATTTTCATTCTACCACACGCCACGCCACGCCGCGAGTAATGAACGGTTAGACCAGCGAGCAGAAATTGCGAGCGTGTCGTTCTACAGACTGTTGCACGCGCGTGCGTCTCGATTTCTAGACGCATCACGACACGGTAATTTCCGAGCCACGTCGAGTCACGAAAACTAAACGTCGCGACGGCTGGAAATTAACCATTTATTGCATGAATTTTGTTTCATCCTTTGAAAGGGAAATTAGTCGTTGTTGGCGTGTACCGCCGTGAATTAATCGGTTCTTGAAATGAAAGGTCGAAGGAGACTGCATCTGTAGGACTGTTAGTAGTTTCCATGCGCAAGAACAGACTCGGACACGTTACAAAATAGAAACGTTATAGGAAAATCTCGAAACTTCTAGGATGATAGAGAGATTTAAAATTGATTTGAGTGATCGCTAATCGATCACGATCGATACGATCGAACCGTTTTATGATAGATCGGACGAACAATAATGTTGCTTCATAAAACAGCTCCCCGCTCTATGACCCTGATAAATCAAGAAACAATATTCAGCTGATTCATCGCAGTGGAGGGGAAAATTCAGATTAAGTCGTGTTCGTATAAATCTGCAACAGATGGAGTAAAAGTCAGTTCGGTTTTAGCAGTTAGCATAGTGTCTTGGAATATAGTCTTCGTGAAATGTGAACGTTCTGTTTTTCTCAGTACAGATTCGAGTAAATCCTCCGCACAGTGTTAGTGTTCCCAGGATATTTTCTCGATTAACTTTCCACGATCCTCATTGACGCTATCCTCTGCAAACATCATCTACAGTCAATCCCATAAATATTCGTATCCTCTATCGAAGAACTTTGACTAAATTGAATAATAGTTTTGATAAATACCAAATGAATTTTCCATTATAAATACCTCTATGAATAAGCTTATACACGGGACTGACTGTATTTTATCCTATTATTTAATAGAACGCCTTTCTACTAATTCAGAATGTCAATCAAACGTCTTTTTACTTCAGGATAATTCAAAATGGCCGTGATAACACCCTACTGGGGCCTGGACGGCATCCTAATCTTTGCCTCCCTTCTGACAGTCGCCTATCTGTACATGACTCGAAAATTCAAGTACTGGGCGAAGAGAGGCATCATGGAGCTCCCTCCGACACCCTTTACGGGAAACTTCACGGACTGCCTGATGTTGAAGAAGTCACCACCTGATTTCGTGTGGGACCTCTACAAACAATCCAAAGGATTACGATACATGGGTTTCTACATTTTCGACAAGCCGTTCCTCCTGGTACGAGATCCCGAGCTCGTGAAGCACGTCCTGGTGAAGGACTTCAACGTGTTCAACGACAGATACGCCTCACCCGACGTGACCGACCGTCTCGGATACGCGAACGTCTTCCAGATGAAGAATCCTGGCTGGAAGATCCTACGGGCGAAGCTGACGCCGATCTTCACCAGCGGAAAACTGAAGAGGATGTTCGAGCTGATGCGCATGGTTGCTGACGATCTCGACGAGCACCTCGAGGCTTTGAATTTGAGTGAGTTTTATCGTCCAATCTCTTGGAACTGGTGATTGTGAACGTAGAATTAGACATTCAAAAAGTTTAAAATCGTTGAAGTTACGAGCGTTAGTTCTTTGAAAGACACATAATTACACATGTACAACGAATGCTAACTAACGCATTCAAGAATCGCGGAAAATCGTATTCATGCAATGTTTGAGAACATCGGAATTTATGATAATTCGCACAAATATCGGTACAAGTCCACGGGGCTACAATAATTTTAACTCGATATTAATCGCAGCCACGGCGAAAGAGGTGGAAATGAAGGACCTATGCGCGAATTTCACCACGGATATGGTTGCCAGCACCGCTTTTGGACTCCAAGCGAACTCGCTGAAGGATCCGAAAGCGGCGTTCAGGGAAGCTGGCAGGGAGATCTTCAAGAACGATTTCGTTCGTGGCATGGAATTTCTCATCATATTCTTCATGCCGCACCTAACCAAATACACAGGCGCGAAATTCTTCGGGACGAAGACCAGCAACTTTATGCGAACCGTTTTCTGGGACACGATCAATCACAGGATTGCGTCGGGCGCGAAAAGGGGCGATCTCATCGATCTTCTGATCGAACTGAAGCAGAAGCACGAGGACGAGGGCGATCTGGGTGGATTCAGTGAGTTCGAAGACGCTACTCGAAGACGCTACACTGAGTTATTCAAGCTTTATTTGTATAATTCGCGTTACAGGTTTCAGTGGTGACGACTTGGTGGCACAAGCCGCCGTGTTCTTCAGCGGTGGATTTGAAACGTCTTCCACCACCATGTCTTTCACACTTTATGAGCTCGCTTTGAACATGGACATACAAACGAAGCTTAGGAAAGAGATTCTGGACGCGCTGGAGAAAACTGATGGCAAGATTACATACGATCTGGTATGAACAATCTATTTTTAAGAAGTTTAAAAAACCTACCCAATTAACCCAATATCTCCGATTTTAATTTAATTTATGCGCAACATCGGTTGGATTGTCAGGTCCGAAATATATTTTTCCACAGCTGCTGACGCTACCGTATTTGGATATGGTAGTCTCAGAGACCCTACGCAAGTATCCACCATTGGGATTCCTGGATCGCATCACCAACGCCCGATACGAGGTGCCCGATTCGGACCTGGTCCTGGAGAAAGGCACACCGGTCTACATCTCCATGATGGGGATGCACTACGATCCAGAATACTTTCCCGATCCACAAAAATACGATCCGGAACGATTCACCGAGGAGAACAAACGGAAGAGACCAAACTTCGTTTACTTTCCGTTTGGTGAAGGACCTCACATTTGCATCGGTTAGTGTGCTTTCAAAGTTCAGATCGGAGGCCGGGCACAAATCGATTAATTCCATGAAATAAAAAGTTAAGAAATGCGATGTAATAATTGTCTGTAAAAATGTACCTTTTAGGTATGCGATTGGGACTCTTACAATCGAAGCTGGGGATCATACAAGTTCTCAGGAAATACGAGGTGTCACGCAGCGAGAAGACCAGCAATCGGATAGTGTTCGATCCCAAGGGACTCACCACGACAGCCCTAGGAGGCCTATACCTGAACGTCCGAAAGATCACCAGTGAAGCTGGTTAATTTGTTTGACGATTATTCGCATATCGAAACAATTTCGGCTACGAGTGACGTCCGTCTGCATCTACTCGGGAGTTAATTAGATACAACACGTTAGAATTGCACACGTATGCGAACGCACAGATGTACAAAAGTACACAAAAGTGTATAGAAATATGTATATGTATATAAAATATTATGTATGGAAGTGCACACTTGTACACGAATGGAGAAATATATACAAATGTATGTCAGTGATGAGTGATCTTCGTCTGAATCTTTAATAAAAGATATGGAAATATATGCGTTCGTCATGTTTGATCAGAATCGCAATAAGCGGGAGAAACGCGGAATTGAATACTAATATCTTCCTGATTCGAAAATATTTACGGGGGGCTATAAATATTTGTGTAACTTGTTACTCGTTTTACGTGATTATTGCTCCGACGTCTGACATCTGCAAATTACTGTTTGCATCTCGTTAATACAGCCTCGCATAAACGCCAGAGGCAACATCGCGTAATAGTAATTTTCCTTATGGTATAAAAAGAAATACTGCGTAATAGAATTATGCAGGGTTATCAATAAAAAAATTGACGTATTTCACCTGTCCTAATTGAGTTGTAACCACTTACAAAAGTGAGAAACATGTCATGAATTACACGAGAGAGACAAATATTCCTTGATTTTTGTTTCAGGCTTTGATATCAAAATAAAATATCTCCCTTTATGCGACCTAATAAATACGGAACGATACCTAAAATATTCTAAACTTATTATTATTATGAACAATTATTATTAAAAAAATATCGAATGTGGACAGATTTAGGCAACGTTTCTTTGTACGATGTTTTTCCGTGTTTGTACCATTCATAACTGAAATGTCTTTACGAACGATTATCAATTCGTCACGACTTTCCTGTTTTTCATTCTGTCTGTTTCTCATTATCAGAAGAGATAACTCACACTTGTAAATTCAGGGATAGTATTTTAATACATTGACATGTTTGCTTCTCATTTTCGTTGAATCATTCTAGCTCCCCACGAGTAAGCTAATCTTTTCAAATTCTGAAATCTTAAAAAAAATCTTAAAAAAAAATCTTTTTCTGTAAAAAATCACTGTTTACCACGGTAATTACTATACCCATATTTTTCTCTTCTAATTAGCTGATCGTTAGTCATCGATATATCTTTCCCTTATCTACCCCAGCTTGGCGAAGCTCGATAAGTCCACTTCTGCTCAATATGCAACAACATTTAATATATTTTTAATGAAGCACGTGATCATACATTCGATTTAATTCACTAAAATTGTAAAATCAAATCGAATGAAGGGGGTTCGAGCACACTTATCGTTCACTATCAACATAAATAAATTGGTAAGTACAGTGCTCGTATCAATAACCTAATCAGACACCTACACAAACATTTACGACAAATAAGAAGAGATTGTACTTAAGATAAGGAGCTTTCACGAAAACATACATAAACACGAAACGTGCAAAATATGCATTTTACATTATATGCAAATTATACCTTCCAAAGCTACGAAGTATCTACTCCTGTTGTGTAAATAATTGTACCCTTTTAGATATATTTATAAGAATGACTGTTTTGTAACTTAGCGACGTTGGTAATGATATTTAGAATATTTTTGGCTATTAGGAAATAAACAAACGTACATGGTCTACGATATTTAAAGTCACTTTATTTGACGTACCTGAGAAATGTTTAAGGTCAAGGAAATTGTAATTACTATGTTACAGAGATAGACCCTCTTCAAGACATTTACGAAAGATGTATTATTATAATACCATTCACATTTTTTACTGCAGCCAATTACATCAGTCAATCGTTCCACGTAATGTAGTCCTTCTAAATATGTGGATTTTAAATAATTTTGTTCGTCCTCTGACTATTCCAGCTTCCTTTATTACTTACCGAGTTTTATCGCGATCGAGCGATTCGACAGAATCGCAGAAGTTGAACGCCTTCGAGTAAACCCACGACTATCAATTTGGAATCTAACTCGAGCAAGTTCAAAGAGTCAGCAAACGACATTGCGTGCCGTTGCAGCGATTAAGAGAAGATTACCCCCAACAGAGTCCTCATAATAGTATGCTGTCGTATTCTATGCTACGAAATGGAATTATGAACAATGATGTGACACTAAATGCACAAAGAGGAGAAGGGAAATCAGCTAGATTCTAGTGGGTGCATAAATAGACTTGCGGTTAATGACGAAAAACTCATTTCTTACTTCAACGTTCATACTGTCACGGCAAGTGGTCTCCGCGGTAATGTAAATAACGCGCTACGTGCATTAAAATTCCAAGTAAGTAATCCTATTTAACGGCGAATACTTTTTAGATAATTTCAAAATGGCCGTGATAACGCCCTACTGGGGACTGGACGGGGTCATAATCCTCACCTCCTTAATGACGGCTGCCTACCTTTACATGACACGAAAGTTCAAGTACTGGGCGAAGAGAGGCATCATGGAGGTTCCACCTACACCTTTCATAGGAAACTTCACGGAGTGCTTGATGATGAAGAAGTCACCAGCTGATTTCGTGTGGGACCTGTACAATCGGTCCAAGGGCTTACCCTATATGGGATTCTACATTTTCGACAAGCCATTCTTTCTCCCGAAGGATCCTGAGCTCATCAAGCATATCCTGGTGAAAGACTTCGATGTATTCTGCGACAGACACGCCACCGCTGACGTAAATGATCGTCTTGGGTACGCGAACGTCTTCCAGATGAAAAATCCCGCCTGGAAGTCCCTGAGAATAAAGCTGACGCCGATCTTCACCAGCGGAAAACTGAAGAAGATGTTCGAGCTGATGCGCATGGTTGCTGATGATCTCGACGAGTACCTCGAAACTTTGAATTTGAGTAAGTTTTATTGCTGCATAAAATTGTTTATCAAGGAATGAATATACGAGTGGCAGAGTAACCTAGTGATATTATCAAATGGCGTAACGCACTGGAAAAAATTCACCTTTAATGTGATTCGTAAGACATAGCACTTAGACGATACCGTTGATACACAGCATGACTTGTTCAACTATTGGCTTGGCTATATAGTATAATTACAGAGAATACAAGCAAGAAAAACTGTGTAATGCACGTTCGAATTTGTCATGTTTCAGTCCACGCGAGCCTATTAATTATTCACGTTGCGTGTGTGATAATGAAAGCATACCGAACTGGTACATGCTACAAAGTTTTAATTGTAACAACTTTTATAATTTCACGAGTGCAATTACGATTCCAGTCTTGATAAATCCTGTCGCGTTTGCGTACTATTCTACAGCATTATTTTTGATTTGCTTGGATAGAGAATTTTCTAAATTAAACGTTACATGATTAGAACATATTTATTCCAGACGTTCCGAAGGAAGTAGAATTAAAAGACGTCTGCTCACGATTCACCACCGACATGATCGGCAGCACTGCATTTGGCCTGAGGGTGAATTCGTTGAAGGATCCTAACGCACCATTTCGAGTAGCTGGCAAGGAAATTTTTGCCACCAACTTTTTCCGTAGCATGGAGTTCCTCATCATATTCTTTGCGCCGCAATTAACCAAGTACACTCATCCGAAAGTATTTGGGAAGAAGTCTGGTGAATTCCTACGGAGCGTTTTTTGGAGGATGATCAATGAACGGATAGATACAGGGGAGAAGAGGAACGATCTCATCGAGCTTCTGATCGACCTGAAGAAGAAGCACGAGGGAGACGACGATCTGGGTGGATTCAGTGAGTTCACGCTATCTACTAGTACACGTTTCTAACGAGGATTCCTACAAAATTAATATTCCTATTATTAACTATTACTATTTCTATTTAGGATTCAATGGCGACGACTTGGTGGCACAAGCAGCCGTGTTTTTCACCGCTGGTTTCGAGACTTCTTCCACCACCATGTCTTTCACACTTTACGAGCTCGCACTCAACATGGACATTCAAAGGAAGCTTAGGAAAGAGGTCCTGGATGCACTGGAAGAATCTGGTGGCAAGATTACCTACGATATGGTACATTCTTGAATCTCAGAGACTGGAACAACATAATCAATATGAACAAAAAATTCCATAATTATTAAGAACATATATATATATATGCATACTATAACACTACTCTTCTAACAAATACTCTTCGTCGTAGATTATGACGCTTCCGTATTTGGATATGGTTGTCTCCGAGACTCTGCGCAAGTACCCACCACTGGCATTCCTGGATCGCGTATGCAACACGAACTACAAAGTTCCTAATTCCGACTTGACGTTGGAGAAAGGCACTCCAGTGTTCATTTCCATATTTGGGTTGCATTACGATCCGAAATACTTCCCCGATCCACAAAAGTACGATCCTGAGAGATTCAACGAGGCGAACAAACAACAGCGACCGAGCTGTGTTTACATCCCGTTTGGAGATGGACCACACATTTGCATCGGTAAGCACGCTTCTACAATCGCGTGATCTTGAATTTAACCATTATCAATGAATTGTGAGTGTCGTTATTGCTGAGATGTATACAGCGTTTGTCTGTTTGAAGTTCTTGCTTCCTTGATTATACTCCAGTAATTTGTAACTCGCACGACACTTGAATTATATAATAAACATCTCCATCTGACACGTTTCTAACACGAGGGATTATCACTGACAACGAGTTTCTTATCTTGGCTAACACAGTTTTGCATGTTACGAGAAACCGATTTAACTATCTGATACTCGAGGTCATGTATGCATTGAACGCGACTCGTGAATCGCCATTTTTCAGATAACTATGTCGAAATTGTAATACACGTGCCACTGTTTACATATTATGTAAAAGTGTAACTATTTTTCTTATCGAAACGAACAGTAATTGTATACAAAATTTCTTATCAATGTTCAGATTTCTATAACATGTAGCAACGAATGATGTTGTAATTTCATGGATATAATTCGAAATATGTTGAGTCACCGTCGTCACCACTTTGCTTCAGACGCAAAGCTTGCAAACAAAATTGGCTTTCTGCTTGAGCAGGCATTCGATAAGTTTCGCAACTCCTTCCTTTATCTTTCAGGTCTTCGAATGGGGCTTATGCAATCAAAGCTGGGGATCGTTCAATTCCTCAGGAAGTACGAGGTGACACCCTCGGAGAAGACACAAATCCCAATGGTGTTCGATCCGAAGGGAGTAGTTACGTCAGCCATTGGAGGTCTACATCTGAACGTCAGGAAGGTCACCTCAGAAGCTGGTTAATTTTTTGCCTTAATTTTCTGAAATGTTTCACCGTAACAACCGTACTCAATTTTTGTACTGTATCTTGGCCGTGACCGAGTCAAAATAAAAAGGAGAACAATTTGTGGTATAAATGCAACTCAACGAAGGAAATATTTTTCTTAAATTCGGTAATGAGAATTTAGCCGTTCATTGCGTACATCGATTAACTCCATGAAACAAAAATGCAGGAAACACTCTGTCTTTCGTTTACGCGGTGACGTACACATATTTATTTCATTCACTTATTCTCATTTACAAAAGAGACTTTACTTACAATCGAATCTCTGTAATATATTAGTACGACACCTTGGAATCAAATGGAATGACGGATACCGCGGCTGAACGGTGTCCTGGCATCTCGTTTGCGTGCATCGCTCAGTGACGGCGTTCGTTGTCGACAGATCGACCACGACAACCGAATACACCTGTCGTGGTTCAAAGTTTAATACCTCATTGCAATTTTCAACGAGTTTTCACCTAGACGAGAATTTCGGCCATCGGTGGTGTTCGTCGAGAATCGATTACGGAGTGTGTGGATAATTACTATTCGTTTCGAACGGGTGCAACAATCGAGGCATTTCTCGAACAGCAGAGATGGCCGGAATTTGTTTCGAATACGGTTTTGATTTCTTTATTACGTTAGAAATATTTCATTCTAGACATCAAATCGTCATTTTTATTCAGCGAGTAACGGATGAAACTTCGTTTATTATACGTTATTCGAAATTTGTATCTAGAACGTTGCTCACCTCTGACAAGTCGATCGCTGTCACCGAGCAGCAAACGAATCGTCGCTTGGATCCCTTTCACGGCACTTTTACACACATAATAACTATACAGTTCACCGTTTATAATATCGTGATAGTAACTCGCCCGCGAGCTTAGCAGTTATTTCGCGTCCATCGTTCCATAATTTTTCTCGCCAGGTAAATATACATTATACATATATATATTATATCTAGTCATTTTTTGTTCGTGTGAGCCGTACATCACGACCTGTCTCTTCGTTACAGTAATTGCAGGTTGCTTTCCTGTTAATCTTCATCGTGCGTTCACAATGTGCGTGTCAACGAGACAACGTCCAGTTTACTGCGGCGCCATCGCCATTTCGCACGGACACGCGAAATCGTATTTTGAATAGTAAATGAGAAACAAATGGATGAATTCTTCTTCCTTTTCAATTTTATGATTTACCAACTACTTCGTTTACCAACCGTGTTGAATTTGCAATTCTGACGATCGTTTCACCCTCTTAAACAATGATGTTGCAATTTCCAACCCTTAAACCCGCAAGTCGAGCGCTGAATTTCATATTTAAATTTAACAACAACATCGTAACTTTCAACCTTCCGCGAACTTTATGTTTGGGTTTGTTTAAGGCTTCTATGAATTTGCAATTTCTACCCCTGCAGTTGAGAGTTTGTTGACTTTCTCTGTTGTTGTTCGATCCTCTCTAAGCGTCTTAATTGTTTCGCTAATGAGTCTTCGGATCGCTCATGAAGATGACCCGAGACGGGCAAAGTTTTAGTTGGAATAAAATTTTTAAAATATGGAAATTGAACTTTTTTTTTATAATAGATTAGGTAGCCAGAGTGTGTTTCCCCTGAAAAATTGAATTCAGGTTCTCAACGTCACATCGGATGGTTAGATTTCACTTAATTATTGCAAATGCAGCCCTCAAGACGATTATTCTGTCAAAATTATGATACACCCACGGCTAAGGGATTAAATCCATAATAATGCTTCTACTTGGGTCTAATTGGATGCACTGGATCCCGCAGGGCTACAACTCCGAAGCTCGTTATACGGTCTGCGATAAAATACTACCTGTAGTGTCTGCTTATTTAGTTATTATCGTGACCATACAAACTCGAAATAAATATGTTTGCCATTTACTATTCGAAACACCATATATTAGGTCGTCTTAAAAGTTTTCGATTCAATGATGATCCCACAGATGCTTTCTACATTCCCTTTCGAAGTTTCAAATATTCCTCTTTGGATGTTTCGAAGACACTCTAGATAAGCCCAGGTTACGGAAACGCGGAAGGCGAAATAAAAGGCTTGTTCGCTGAACAATTGCATGATGTGCTCGGTTAAAATTCCCTGGCACGCAAACTATTCACGAAAGAACCACTACACCCATATATTTCGGTAATTGGTATCGCCGTACTCTTTTATTAACGCTTTCGCCGCTGAAACCGATGCTTGGCTTCCTGTTCGCCAAACACACTCGATGCACACTATAGGCCATAAATATGGGAACGTCGATAACCTCGAGCAAACCAAATTCCAGAGAAATATAGGATCATTTATTATGCAACGCTTCTACGTGCGAAGAATTCTTCTCGTAACCTTTTCCGTTTGCTTTTGTTGTCTCGTTATTAATTCTCTCACTTGTGCCTCTTGAAATTTGTTTTTTCCAAGGTATCACGAAGAAAGGAATAACTATTATCGAGTTACGTACTGGTACTTTTCCTCCCTCGACAACCTCATCTTAACTCAAGCAGATTCCGCATTTTAAGTCTGCACTACTCCGTACCATAGCTGAAGCTCCCAAAGGACAATTACCATGAAGAGCGTACACAATAAATGTCTGATCCTTCTAAATCTCTTCAGCTATTCTCTATTCCCTGCAGTACTTCGCAACATCTCCATAAACCTGAACATACTCCGCACGATGAAGATCAACGAGACGGAAGGTAAGGTCTCCAGCGCCTCTCGATTCAACATCGTCGAACGTTCCGTTTCGCGTTCGACGATCGTCTCCTTACACGCTAATTAGCATCGCATTGCTGATGAAGGGTGTATTGAACTCGAGGTTCCCGCGGCGTTCCAGGATTACACGTGGCTGTCGTGCGTTCTCGATCGTCGAGATCGTCCTCTATCGCCCGCGGGGGAATACGCGGGATCGATTACGCTTCGTTTCGTAATTGACGAAAATAATTGGGACACGAGGACTACCTCGGCGCGGATAAACGATCAATTGACGGAGTAGAAACGCGATGCCGCACCTACGACATCGTTGGACCGTCGAGTTCCCGTTTCCTCTTCTCTTCTTCTCGGTTCCCTCGAACCCTGGCTTCCCTCTGGAAACCCAGGCCCCAAATTTTCTTTTGGCGATCGACCGACGCCACATCGCTCGCGAGCAGGGCCCAATTGAGATCTCATGGGACTCTTGGGCTACAGTTCGTACTATTTCCAAAGGAAAAAGGCACCGAAGAAATTAAAGTTACTTCAATGAGTGAAGGTAGGTAATAAGTAGCTTTCGATAAATAGAAAACTCCTCTGGAACTAAGAGGGTTAAGAATATCGTTTCTCGATCTTCATAATTGATCTATTTGTAACGAATGAAGCTGTAGCCCTTGAACACCACGCTTTAATTCGGCCCTGCTCGAAAGCAGTGCTGGGCAGTGATTACTCTGGGACTCTACCATCGTAATTATTACTCGCAACTGTCAGATTGAAAACTACATATTGAATCTGCAATCACGGATTAGTAATTTTCGATCATCGTGTCTGATTGTACATTGATCATTGATCGTGATCACCGATTGCTTCCGGTGACCGTGATGACGTGTTACATTTTTGTCCAACGCTGCTCGAAAGTAACACAGGTAATTGGATAGTTCGATTGTCGGCACAAGTGGTCCGAATAGATTAGAAAATAATCGCCTCGTAGCCGCTCGATATCGACCGACGGATAATCGATTTACTGTCTAGGAAGAGACAAATAAATATTGACAAAGGTCAGGCACAGACAGTGAGTGGTAGAACGAAAAAAGCATTTGACTCCGAATCGCAGCGGTTGAACGTCGATCATTCGAACATTCGACCAGGCCGCGACTTATGGTCGTTTCGTTCGCGGGCTGATGGGAGAAGGTGTTCGAAACGATTTCGTCGTTGGCTAGATCAAATACTTTTTCCCTCGTACCACTGGAAGTTTAATAATTTATATTATAGCGTGTATACAACGTTATTATGGTTCGACGTAGCTCGCTCGCTCGAAGACACCGTTGCGTCTCTTACATTCGTCGATCCTTTTCTTCGATCCTCTTTAAGGTTCAAGATTTCAACGAGCTTCCACAATGGGGTGGAAAGATTCGCGCGGTGAGATCTCATGTCCGACGTGGAAAGGGCTGGAGTGAAAATATTCGCGCAAATCCTGAACGCCGACTGAAGAGATTCGTCGATTCCACGGAAGCATTCATAAATAAAATTCTGGGTGAATTACATTTGAGATAAATGTATGGAATAATATGGCACTCGGTCATCCATTTCCTGCGACGTTATTGGGAAGTAATCGAAGTATCGAGATACTCGTAAATATTTTGAGAAGTTAATTCGAAAATTGTTAATAAACCTGTCTAATAATTTTTGACCGAATCATATAACATTTTCCTGTTATTATTAGCCGTAAAATATGCTGCTATAGAAGTTTGTAAAATTCCTGAATTGAGATTCAAGTTTCGACAAAGTTTTCCGTGACCATTCAAACGAATCTCTTCGAAAAATCGAACAAGCATTACGCAGAATGCAGAGGGTCGCTCGCGCGATGCGGATGCAGGGTTCATCTTTCCGCTCTACGATCGCCGTAGAAAACGAAGAATGCCCAAAACGAGTTTTGGGTACTGAAGACAATAACGTAAGACTAGAGTTCAACAATACATGCGGTTTTTAATCGCCGTACAGACACACTGGTGGAGTATAAAAATATAAACATCTAAAAATGAAAAAAGCGAGACGCCGTTAGAGAACTAATTTGTGTCGAGGCTGAGAAACACGTGTATTTGTGTGTATGTGTGTGTATGTGTGATGCGTCGCGGACGAACCGATTACGAGGGTAATATTATTCTCCTTAAGTCGGAGGCTACGTTAGGCTCTATACGCTTACTTTCTCTCCTGTTCATCGTTTTTCAGACGCATTTCAAAAACGCTCCGCGAGGACAGATATCTGTCGATCGATGAAAAATTTATGATAATCATCGACAATTTTTCCTGTATTAATTTAGAAAAGCAGTTTTTAATTAACGAAACCCAACTACTAGTTACATTCCAAGTCCGAAAGGGTTGAGATTCGCGATCGTCTTTTATCTC